GATTGACCGTAGGCAGTTGAAGAGGTAGATTTAAAGTGGGATTTAACTATAGATTAAAGGGAAGGGCAAGGTGGAGGGATTGAGGCATGGAGTTCCAGGGAGTCGTGGCTGAAGTCACAGGTCGGGGTATATCTTGTGTTAGATGGTATAACTTTGGGTTGACATCAGTGGGAGGTGCACAGTGGAAAGTGATGAGAATCAATGTCCATAAGTTCTGGAGGATCTGGAGAGGCCGGGGGAATGAGGAGAAAGGGGGCAGTTTAATCAGGAGTAATGTGAAGTTATCAGTTATCAAGGATTATTATTATTATATAATCTAGGGCAGGCCAACACTCCAGTGCAACGCACGGGAAGCGCTGAATTGACCTTTGGATGAGATTTTAAACAATTAGAGGTCCTGTCTACTTTTTCAGGTGAACATTAAGATGTCACAGCAACAACAATAAAATTACATTTGTATAGCGCCTTTCATGTCAGGAAGATATTCCGAGGAACTATTTGTATGAGGCATTATTTGAAAAGAGAAGGATCCTGGTAGATAATTCCCCAGATAAAATCAATCATTCACTTCATGGCTGTTTGTAGGAAAATTGAATGCCTACAAAATATGCAGTAAATCCCACAAAGCACTTCAAGACATTTCAACAATGTGATAAGGCATTGTGTCTAAGGCAAGGATTATTACATTTACAAGTGGCCCTTCTGCATGTCGAACAACAATAACTTGGATTTATATAGCGGATTTCAGATCTCAGAGTGCTTAACAGTTGCAGAGCTTGACGCCAAGTCAGGGAGAGAGGAGAGATGACCGTAGACACAGTTGAAGAGGAAGGTCTGCAGGTGTGATCTGAAGACTTGTGAGAAGGGAGTATGGCAGAGAGATTGAGGCAGAGAGTTCCAGAGTTTCGGGACCTAGAAACTGAAATCAAGGCTAATAATGGTGAAGCGGACGAGATGAGGGGCATGCTGGAGGCTGGAACCAGCTGAGCGAAGTAGGTGGGTAGGGGAATGGGGTGTTGAGCTTGTATTCCGCAGCTGCTACCACCACTCCAGTCACAAAACAAAGTCTAAAATGTACTTGTGAAGTTTCTCATCCTTCATTCGCTGAGTAATTGTATTACGGACCTGCCGAATTTATGCTGAATGAGCTCCAGTACCTAAGATGCACATAATTGCTTCAGCAATAGATACAATTTGGATGCTGTGGATCGAGTTTCAATTAAACCCGCCAAAAATCTTTAGCAGCGGAATTTTTTTTAAAAACAAAAATTTCCACACAGCTGCTCGAACGAAAATATATTGTTTGACGTCAAAAATGTATTGCTTTCAATGGGAAGCTGTCAGTTTGAATAAAAAACATTGTTTCCGGGCAAGATGCATTGCCACCAGTGAAAATACATCAATTTCAGCCAGGATTATTGATTTTATTGCCACTTGCCTCTCTTGTGTTGAACGGGATTTATCTAATGCATTTACACTGAAGCCAATAAAGGCGCACAAGTTAAACAAGACTATGTATGCATGGGATTTCAGGCTCAGTCCCTTGCTCATTCATACATGTAGATGGTTGTCTCCGAACAATGTATTTCCAATGGACTAAAAGGGAATTCTTTAAATTACAATACAAATTGTCTGGTTTTACATTACTGGAATGACATCTGAGGATCTCTGTCAAGGCATCAATGTATGCATTCAAAACCTATTTGGATATGATTCCGTTTGCATATCTGGCTGGCGGCTCTGCTAATGTAAATTAGTTTCATTAACTGTTCCTCAATTATAGAGGGTTTCTAATTAAATACTTCGGATTGAATTGGGAAGTTTCGCTTCTGGAGGGGAAAGTTCATAAGGGACAAAAGAAAATCAGCCTGGTCTTTTCTTTTTCGAGAGAGAGCGTTTACACGGGCAAAACTTGGGGCAAACAGACTGGGAAGGTTCCATATTTGATCGTTTATCATTAAATTCAGAGGGCATACAGCATGTATTAACGTGCATCAGCCTGGCTCAGTTGGTAGGGCCAACTTCTGAGTCAGAAGGTTGTGGGTTCACGCCTCATCTCGGGACTTGGAATTCATATGGAGCCCTGCGGTGTATTGGTTAGAGCACTCACCTCGCAAGTGAGAGGATCCGGGTTTGATTTTAGGGCAGGGCGAAAGCTCAGGCAAGTTTTCTTACTCCATACGCCTCTGTTTATCCAGCAGTAGTATTAACCCACCTGTTAGTTAATTGGCGGATGGCTTTCCGTGGGTAATAATCCCTTTGAAAATAAATAAATGAATAAATAATAATTTGGTCACTCAATCCACAACTGTTTCAGCGCAATTGGCTGCCAGGTTTCGCCCATAAAATATACAGTCACTACTTATGTTATTATTATGTGAAGTGCTGAAGCTCAGTGCTTAGAGCACTCGCTTTGCAAGCGAGAGACCTGGGTTCAATTCCCGGCAGGGTGAAGCCTTGGGCAAATTTACTTACTCCACACGCCTGATAATAATCCCTAAAAAAAATAATAAATTGGTAATTTCAATCCACGACTCTTTGTGGGACACTGCTGTGCACAATTGGATGCCGCATTTCGCCCACAAATATACAGTCAATTCACTTTACAGTCTATTCTGTGAAGCGCTTTGAGACGTCCTCCCGACGTGAAAAGCGCTATATCAAATGCAAGGATTATTATTATTATTATTATCTAGAAGACGTGAAAAGCCCTATATCAAATGCAAGGATTATTATTATTATTACTTCACAATATATTCTGTGAAGCTCTTTGAAACATCTTAATGAGATAATGAGGCCCTGTATCAAATGCAAGGAATATTATTATATATAGCATAGGCTGATGCTCCAATGCAGCATTGGGTGTGTACTGCATTGTTGCAGGTGCCGTACTTTGAATGAATTGGAATTGAATTGAGTTGGAAGTTGGAAAAACAGAGGATTATTGGAAGGTATTGAGAGCGAGGCGGAGAGCGAGGTCAGATTAGGTTACCCATGTGAAGAAGACAACAGCGCTTGATTTGGCAGCAAAACATGTGTTATAACATTCTAGGGTTCTATGACGTTTAATAATTGATACGACTAACTGGAGGAAGTAAGCAGGGTCTCCTTAGGTCTCCTAAGGCTCCAAAGTCACATGTTTGGCAACAGATTGTCCGATTCAAGTCAGTTCTCTGTGGCAGTGCAGTCTGGTTCCCGAGCCAGGCATGTCCACAGTATTCCAGGGCACTGCTGTTTAACAGACCAGCCAGCCTGGCTTGTCAGCAGGACTTGGAGCGGCAGACCAGTCATTGGGACATATGATTCTTCTCAGTTGGTCCCTGTTAGTCCTGTAAGCTAAAGCCTTCAAGAGAATGGTGGTTCTACCTGGACAGGCAGTGGGAAGGAAGCTTGCTAGACAGTGCTTTCAATGGTAAGCTATGTGGTATTAGCTGCTAAACACCAGCAGTTACACCAACACAAACTCTCTGGTCGCAAGTGTGCGTGTTTTTGTGTGCGTGTGTATGTGTGTGGGGGGGTGATCCTGGGGAGAGGTTGTACGTGTGCTTATCTGTGTGATGGGGGACAATTGTGTGTGTGTATTTGTAGACTGTTTTGTGTGAGTGTGTTTGTAGGTGTGTATGTGGGAACTGGGTTTGTTTGTGTGTGTGTGGGTAGGTTTTTGTGTGGGTGTGATTACAGAGCCAGACAGATATTTAATGAATTCGTCTTAATGCTATTATCATAAATCCACTGATTACAATAGGACTTTCTCAGCTAAACTCAGGTTAATTGGAAAGGCCAAATGCACAAAAGAACCACTTACACACACATTATCAGGCTCAATAATCTGCGTACTTTATTGATGTTTCATCGTACACTTTGTATGAAGGCTGCACTATAATTTGGGTATTTATGATTCCAGCGAATGTAAAGGTTTGTATTTAAATGCAAAGCTGAAGAGATAGATGTCAGGGACATATCTCTGATGGTTACTGCAATGCGGGATGGGGGAGAGAGGAAGGAGAATTAGACAGTGCTCTCACAAAAAGCACTAGGATTTTGTGTCAGCCTGGCTCGTTTGGTAGCACTCTCTCCTCCAAGTCAAAAGGTTGTGGGTTCAAGACCCACATTTGGATGTTCAACTCATATAATCCATGCTGACACTTCAGTAACATTGTTGGTGGTGCCGTCCTTCACATGAGACATTAACCAAGGCTTGGGGCACCCAGAGCTTACTCTTGGAGCTGAACTAGGTACACCTTAAAGGCTCAGCCAGCAGTGTCATCACATTGTCGAGATGTCTCAAAGTGCTCCAAGATGTTACTATGAAATTTGCTCATAAAATGTACAACAATTCATTTCATAGTATATTCTGTGAAGCGCTTTGAGACATCTCAACGACATTATAAGACTTATATCAAATGCAAGGATTATTATTATCATTACGGGTCGTGACTGGGTATTTGTAGATGACCATGGAAGCCAAATTTGCGAGCAGCCATGAAGTGAGTGACCAATTTTATTTTTATAGGGGCGTTGTTAATCAGGATGCTGGGAGAAACTCCCTTCTCCCTTTGAATAGCACCACAGGATCTTTAATGTCCACCTGAACAGGCAGACAGGCCCTCAATAAAACTTCCCATCCAAAGGATGGCACCTTCAACAATGAAACACACCCCTGGCACTGCATTGGAGTGTCAGCCTAGATTGTAAGTTCAGTGTCAACCCAGTTGGAGAGAGTGAAGAGCTAGCAGTGGACCAGATTTAGATAAGAGAATTCTTGCATGATCTCTTCCCCCCACCAAACAAATTATCTGGAGCTGAATATGGCCAAAAATGTTTGGTTCGTAATCTTTGTAACATCAATACACAGGTTGATCGGGAGTAAATATTTTTGACAGAAAGTGAGCAATTAGGTGTTTTAGTTTGTCAAATTAATTGTCCAATAACTGTGGGATGTCTGTCGATTTGTTGAGGCTAATGGAATTGATTGCGGATATTTTTTTTCATTTGCACAGGGACTCCAGTGAATCGGATTCCCATCATGGCCAAGCAGGTGTTAGATCTGTACAGTCTGTACAAGCTTGTCACTGAAAAGGGCGGTTTAGTGGAAGTCATCAATAAGAAGATCTGGCGAGAAATCACCAAAGGCCTCAACCTCCCTACCTCTATTACCAGCGCTGCTTTCACCCTGAGAACCCAGTGAGTACACATGGCATGAGGATTAACGGATCTCTTGTTGGTTAACATTCTGCACATTTTTTTTTGGTCAGCCATGTGGAAACCCATCAGCCATGCTTAAGGGTATCCAAACTGAGAGTTCCATCTATGTAATAAAAATAATAATAATAATCCTTGCATTTGATATAGCACCTTATCACATCGTTGAGATGCCTCAAAGCGCTTCATGGAACATATTGTATACTGGATTAACTGTATTTTATGGGCAAAATACGGCAGCCAATTGTAAACCGCAGTGTCGCATAAACAGTCATGGATTTAGTGACCAATCTTTTTTTTGACGGATTATTACCCCCAGAACGCAATCTGTCAATCGACTAACAACCCGGTTCCTTCTTACGGCTCGATAAACAGAGGCATGTAGAGTAAGGAAACTTGTCTTAAGGTTTCGCCCTGCCCTGGAATCGAACCCAGGTCGTTTTGCTTGAGAGGTAAACATGTAGTATTCCAGTGCACTGCTGAAGACAGCGCTACTAATTTGGCTCATCAGCGGAGTTAGAAGTCACTGGGGGCAGGGAGTCATCCCACTCAGCTCCTGTTAACCCTCTAAGCCAAAGCTCTAACGGGTGGGGTGGTCTTAGCTGAACAAGCAGCAGGAAAGCTTGCCAGACAGCAATATTAATGGCAAGCTATGCAGTTTTAGTTGGTCAGACTCCAGCAGTTACCCCAATTCACACTCTGATGGTCCCCAAGATGGTCTTGCCAACCTGCGCCTAACACTTTCAGGAATTTGGTAAGCAGGATGTGTCCCTCCAGGGAGAGAGTGCGCATTCCATTCCAACAATCTATCTCTGGAGTTTCCATGTGTAGGTGGGATGCCTGGAATTCTCAGTTTGGTTTGGATCCTGTTAAGCAACGGTGATGGGTTTCCGGATGTGTCAGACACTCAGCTGACCAAACAAAAAGAAAAAAAAGCTGTCCATTAAATTCCACTGCCCTTGGCCTATTTCCATACCCTTTCAATCCTCAATCTTTTATAAATCTGTCCACTTCCTCCTTGAAACCCACAATGGATTCTGCCTCTGGCACCTTACTTGGCAGTTTGTTCCACCACGACTCTTTGTTCTCACTTTTTCCTTCTTACAAACTACAAAGGTGTATAAAATCCAAGCTTAGTCACCTAACCACTACACTATGATCTCTTCTCCTCCCTCTCCCCAGCCCCTCCCCCACCCCAGCCTAATCATTTTGACCTTGGTGATGTGTTGCCCTTCACCTTTGTTTCTCAATGCCACAATTCCTGAATCTTGCCTTGTACTTTATATGGGTTTGGCTGATAAGCATGTTAATGATCCTGTCACTTATTTGTGCAAACGTTTTGTGCTCTACTTCATAGATGATCAGTTGATTAGTTAGTTGCAGTCCAGAGATAAACCAGTACAGATACCGGATTGACTCTACACACAGGTCACTTGCAGACATTGGGACTGAGAATTTATGTCCACAGATTGTAAACTGTTGAAATCATCGCCAGATTCCACTGGCTCCCATGGGATCAATGTCAAGATCCTGGTCCTGTCATACAAATCATCATCATCATAATAATAATACTCCTTGCATTTGATATAGTGCCTTATCACATCAGCGAGATGTCTTAAAGCGTTTCATTTGATATGCTGTAAAGTGCTGTGACCCTTGTGTATTTTGTGGATGGCAGTTAATTTGCGCACAGCAATGTCTTAACATTTCATTTGTTCAAAGGACAGCACCTCCAACAATGCAGCAGCATTTGCACACTTGCACAGCCGAGACTATGTGAGCTCAAAAACCCGATGTGGGGCTTGAACCCACGAGCCGCTGACTCAGAGGCGAGAGTGCTTGAGTTTGGTTAGGGTCCTTAAAACGAGAACCCAGTTTGTGGCACCACCAACCCCCTCATTCCACCCCCATTACACACACAGATTACCGGTATTACTCCATATAGACCTGTTTCTGCTCAGCGGACTCCAGCCTGCTCCATGACCGTAACCCGGCCTGCCCCACCATCGGCGATCAGGCCTTCAGTCTTTCTATCCTCACCGTTTGGAACTCCATCCCACATTCCCTTCACTTTGTCCCCTTCCTTGCCTCCTTCAAGGCCCGTCTCAAGATCCTCATCTTTGTCCTACCCTCCCTGCCCTCCACCTCTTCTAATCCCAACCCCCAGTGTTCAGGTCCAAAGCCCTGACTGTTCAGTGACTTGGGACATCCTCCTGTCGTGAAACACGCTTCTCAAATGTAATTTGTTATTGTTTGTTACATAACAGACTCAGACTGTAACATTTGAAATCATATACATAACAATACTGCAAACTTGGCCTTTCCTTCCCCTCCCAGAATGATCCCGTGATATGGTCGTTTTGCCTTCCAGGTATATGAAGTACCTGTACCCATATGAATGTGAAAAGCGGGGCCTGAGCTCTCCTGGAGAACTGCAGGCAGCGATTGATAGCAACCGGAGAGAAGGTCGAAGGCAAAGCTATGGATCCACCATATTTAACTACTCCCCTGTGGGGACCCCGACTGTCCTGTCTTCACCAAAGATACAGATGCCAACCATTGCAATATCAACGCCTAACGGCACCCATATAAGCCACATTAAGAAAGGTATTATGGCTGGCACTCATAAGACATTGAAAAGTTTCACAAAGTGCTTCGCAAGAAAATAAATGAACAATAACCCTTACATTTTGATACAGCACTTTTCATATAAAATCATCCCAAAGTGCTTCACTGTAAAATATATTTATTGAATGTGTATCCAATTTCCGCACAGCGATGTCCCACACACAACTGTGAGTTTGTTGGACAGGACACCAGGAAAAACTCCCTTCTCTTTTTGAATAGTCACTTCTCATGAAAGGTGCTTTATAAATGTAAGTTGTATTGGACTTGCATTGAAGGATCACGAAACGAGCTAAATTGCTAAACCTTCGATACATAGGATTGGGGTTAAATTTGCGGCGTTTCTAAAATATCTCCGCCGATTATTCTTGCCCGCTAGAAGGCAGCAGTAATATTATTGTTACTGATCCGTAAAAATTGCCGAAGGAGGAATCAGGTTAGGATTAGTGTCGATGTTTAATGGGGTTGGGGGGTCGGGGCCAGGTATGTGGATGGCTTTTTCTTATTTTTTTTTCCTTCTTCGTTTCTCTCTCCTCGCCTTTCCCTCTCCCCGCATTCTTCAGAAGACTCGTCGCACTCAATGGGAATCACGGGGAGCCGGATAGCAATCCCCCTCAGCATCGCTGGCCATCACATGCCCTCGGTGCAGGCTGCGGTGGCACAGGCCACCATGGACCAGCTGCGGGAGAAGCTGGATGCAGGGGAGCCTCCCGGGAAGAAGATGTCGTTGGGGGTAGAGGAGCAGCAGAGACTCATGCAGCAGGCACTACAGCAGAACCTCCTCGCCATGGCCACCCAGATCCCCATGAACATCAAGATCAACAGCCGAGGTGAGGCAAGGCTCCACACTGTTCCTCACCATCGCCCCGAGCCACTAAAATTAATAATAACAATCCTTGCATTTGATGTAGCGCCTTATCATGTTGTTGAGCCATTTCAAAGCGCTTCACGGGATATATGTAAAGTGGTTTGACTGTATATTCTGTGGGCGAACATGGCAGCCAGTTGTGTCATAAACAGCCATGAAGTGAGTGACCAATTTTTATACAATGATTACTATTATGACTACTATTATTATGGTCCAATGCATCCCTGGGATTGCTCATCTCACAATAACCCCATTGAAAATGCATCAAGCCGTAAAAGTCATTCAGCATTAATGACACAACAGAGACTCTCTGCTGCAAACGTCTCTCTGTTGTGACAGAAATGTTAAGTGGATTTTGATTCCTCAAAGGGATTAAGCACTAAACTGGGCTATTACGTTTACTCACTCACTGTCCTGCCACTCAATTTCAGGACAGCCACCAGGACATTTTCTTACCCAGAGTAAGTAATGATGGGAACTGGTTGCCAAGAAGGATGGTTGAGGCCAGGGTGATAGTGTTATGTTTTGGTCAGCCGGATGTCTGATACATGCAGAAACCCATCACCATGTTTAAGACTTTCCAAACCAAACTGAGAATTTCTCTTGCCAACCTGCGCCTATTCCTTTCTGGAATTAGATACGTAGGATACGTCCCTCCAGGAAGAATGCACTTTCCATTTCAATAAATATCCTGGGAATTTCCATGAGTAGGTGGGATGCACGGAATTCTCGGTTTGGATACTCAAGCACGGTGGTGGGTTTCTGCATGAGTCAGATACCTGGCTGACCAACAAAATGGACAGGAACTAATCATGTGTCAGGCTGGCTCAGTTGGTTGCACTCTCACCTCTAAGATAGAAGGTGTGGATTGAAGTCCCATATCAGGATTTCGAACTCATAGTCTAAGATAATAATCGAGTGCAGTGCTGGGACTGTGCTGCATAGTTGGAGGTGTTGTCCTGTCTGTCTGTTCAGTTGGCCATTAAAGAACCCATGGCACTATTCAAGAAGAGAAAGGAGTTTCTCCTGGAGTCCTGGCCAACAATCCCCCAAATAAAAGATTGGTCATTCACTTCATGGCTGTTTGTGGGACATTGTTGTATGCAAATTGGCTGCCGCAATTGCCTATAAAACACACAGTTACTCCACTTCACAGTAAATCCTATTAAGTGTTTGAGATTCTTTGAGACTGTTTCCTCCTGACTTGAAAGACGCTATATCAAATGCAAGGATTATTAATAATAACAATAATTCTTGCATTTGATATAGCACCTTATCATATCTTCAAGAAGTCTCAAAGCGCTTTACAGAATATATTCTAAAGTGAATTGACTGAATATTTTGTGGGCGAAATATTATTATTATTTTAACAAAGAGCAGCTTGAAGGAAATCCAGAAGAGCAAAAAGTGCAGCATAACTATGCCATTTGTTAAGAGCAACTGTGTGAACAAGCAGCCAGCTAGGTCCCTGGAGCCATCTTATCATGTGCAGTTTACTGTAACAGGCAGCTCACTTTTTTTGGCACTCATATTGGTGTTTTTTTTCCTTTTTCTTTTCCCCAGCAGATGACAGACAAGAAACTGCATTGAACCTGTCTAGAAATGACATTAGCAGCATCAACATGTCGATAGAAATAAATGGAGTTGTCTACACAGGTAAATAGAAGGCTGTTTTCCGATGTAATTGCAAGCAGGAAATCCAATAACTAATAGGAGTGCTGTGGCGTTAAGTTCTATACACAATTTGATGTCTTTACTATAAAATCCATTGCTATGAAGTGCCTGTCCAATGCAGTTAAAAAAGTTAAGCATCTTGAAATTGCCCTTGTTGATTTGCAGTCGATGACAGCCATTGTTTTGCGCTCAGGCACCGATTGCCCGAGCCAGCTTGCGATGAGGCTGAATTCAGAGTTTAATTACTACCTTGTGAGTAGTTCAGACCTCTTCCCCCTGCCCCCTTCCCCCACCCCCCCTTTCCCCGCTCACCCTCTTAGTCCATCTCCGCTAACTTCACCTGCCCCTTAACTCCAGCTAGCCCCTGGACATGGCGTCCTGTAGCTCAGTGGTTAGAGCACTCGCTTCGCAAGCGAGTGACCTGGGTTCAATTCGCAGCAGGGCAAAACCTTGGGCAAGTTTCCTTAATACACACGCCTATTAACAATCTTTCAAGAAAAAAACAATGATAATTTGGCCAATCAATCTATGATTGTTTGTGGCACTGCTGTGCGCATTTGGCTGCCGCGTTACGCCCACAAATCATTTTATGGTATATTTTGTGAAGCGCTTTGAGACGTCTAGAAGACGTGAAAAGCGCTGTATCAAATTCAAGGATTATATATATATATAAACATAGAGGCACAAGGGAATAAAGAAATCGGAACATAGGAACAGGAATGGGCTATTCAAATCCTCGAGCCTGTTCTGTTATTTTATTAGATGATGGCTGATCTGTACCTGATCTCCAATTAACCGTCTTTGCCCCATACCCCTTGATACTCTGACCTAACAAAAATCTATCCACGTCAGTCTTGAACATTTGAATGGATCCAGCATCCACAGCCTTTTGGGGGAGAGAGTTTCCGATCTCCACTACCCTTTGTGTGAAAAAGAAAATAAGACAGAGATGGGAACACAGTGAGGAAAGGGGTATTTGGCATAGAATGAAGGCCCCAGTGGACTCTACAACAACAACAACAAGATTCCATTTATTGAGCGCCTTTCACGTCGGGAGGACGTCCCAAGGCGCTGTACAGTTGGGTCAGGACCCGAGCAAGGGAGAAATGGTCAGGGTGAGGGGAGGGAAGGGAGGGAGCGAGGAGGGGGTAGAGAGTCGAGAGGGGAGCTGAAGGCACGGTCAAAGAGAAAGGTCTTGAGACCGGCCTTGAAGGAGGAAAGGGAGGAGGCGGCGAAGGCACTGGGGGATAGAGTTCCAGAGCCGAACTCCCTAGGGTGAGTGTAGAGGATCGAGGATGATTCCCAGTGGTAGATGCACAAACAGCTTTCAGGAACGGTTAGTCAAACTAGGAATGGTTCTTCAACCATCAAAAGGAGTCTCTTAGAGGAGATGCACACATCTGCATGCATATTGATGAATAGTTGATGAAGAAGTGAATAGAGATGTATACGTGAGGGAAATATAAAGGGTGAGAGCTACTGGGTTTAAGCTCTATGTCAGGACTTGGAGCTTACAGTCTAGGCTGACACAGCAGTGCAGTGCAGTACTAGGGGATGCGCTGCATTATCAGACGAGTTGTCCTTCAGATGAGACAATAATTCATGGCCCCGCCTGCACCAGATGGATATGAAAGATTCCATGGCTCTACTTGAAAAGAGGTGAGTTTCCTGGTAAGCAAGGGGCCCCCAGATAAGATTGGTCATTCACTTCCTGGCTGGTTGTGGGACATTGTTGCTGTACACAAATTGGCTGCTGTGATGGCTTACGAAATACACAGTCGACTGCATTTACAGAAAATCTTGTGAAGCGCTTTGAGACGATTCAGTGATGTGATAAGGCGCTATATCAAATGCAAGGGTAATTACTTTTATTAATAATATTATCTGAGACTCAATTCAGGTAAATACACTGTTTGTAGTTAGCTGGGCAAGGGTGTACATAAACTCTCCAAACTTTGGAGGTAGGATGACCACCAATTGGAGTCCTGTAGCTCAGTGGTTAGAGCACTCGCTTTGCAAGCGAGAGACCTGGGTTCAATTCCAGGCAGGGCGAAACCTTGGGCCAGTTTCCTTACTCCACACGCCTAATAATAATCCCTCCAAAAACCAAAACAATAATAAATTGGTCATTTTCAATCCACAACTGTTTGTGGGACATTGCTGCGCGCAATTGGCTGCCGCGTTCAACCACAAATATACAGTCAATTCACTTTACAGTGTGTTCTGTGAAGCGCTTTGGGACGTCCTCCCGACGTGAAAAGCGCTATATCAAATGCAAGGATTATTATTATTATTATTATTATTATAATTCTCCGTCGCTAAATTACCCATGGGAGTGGGAGAGAGGGGATGAAGAGAGGGAGAGTGGGGGAGGGAGGAAGGGAGGGGTTGAGGAGGGGAGGAGGGAGGGAGAGGGGAGGAGAGAGGGAGCAGGACACAAGCCCCACTCCCAGCAGTTTTCTGTCACTGACAATCGAAAAGAGCAAAGAAGAAAAAAACACGATTGACCCAAAAAATATACAGTCGATTCACTTTACAGTATATTTTGTCTCGATGATGTGATAAGACTCTATATCAAAGACAAGGTTTATTATTATTGTCAATCTACCCTCGTGCCTCACGAGGTTCAAAGCCTGCGCTCGGAACGGTTCCAAATTTAATTACTTTGCGCGCAAAGTGCACTTTGGTGAAGTTGTGGAATGAACAAGCCCGGGGGGCTGATTGTGCGTCAGTCCATTCAAGATGGAATTAGAGAGTTATTTGGCCCAGAAATCGATTCAAGGAATATGAGCGATTCAGTTGCCCAGAACCATTTCATTTATTTCTTTTACATTGGGGTCCGTCAAATTGCCAGCAGTCATCCTTTTTTACTCTCTCTCCCTCTGACTCTCTTTCCTTTATGTTCCTGTGTGTCGTGCATTGGGAATTTGCGGCTTGCAACTGAAGTATTTCTGTGTTGAAGTGGAAGCAATGGTTGCTGTGTGTTAATAATAGTAATAATCTTTGCATTTGATATAGCGCCTTATCATGTCACGTCACTGAGTCGTCTCAAACGCTTTACATAATATATTGTAACGTGAATTGACTGTATATTTTGTGGGCGAAATATGGCTGCCAATTGCACACAGCAGCATCCCACAACCAGTCATGGATTGAGTGACCAATTCTTTTTGGGAAGGGATTAAGCCCGGAAAGTGATCCACCAATTGACTAACAACTTGTTGCTAGGTAAACAGAGGCGTGTGGATTAAGAAAACTTGCCTAAGGTTTTGCCCTGCCCAGGGTTTGTGGGACACTCCTATGCGCAATTGGCTGCTGGGTTTCGTCCACAAAATACACAGTCAATCCACTTTACAAGCGCTTTGAGATGTCTCAATTACATGATAAGGTGCTATATCAATTGCACGGACCAAATTATTAGTATTTTTACCCAATCCGCCAATCGACTAACAACCGAGTTCCGACTTACCAATAGGCAAACAAAAGCCTAAGGAGTCAGGAAACTTGCTTAAGGTTTCACCCCACCCGGGAATCAAACCCGGGTCCTCTCTTGCGAGGCTAGCGACCAATATGCTACAGGACTCCACCTGTCAAGGTATCTCAACATGAGCGGGAAAGCTTGCCAGCAGAGAGAAACATCGCCAGGCGATAGGGAATTTGCGGGGGCTTTACATTTACATTGTGTTGTCGTTGCTCTCCCCACAGGGGTCCTGTTTGCTCGACGGCCGGTTGTCCCCGTGATGCCTGGCAGCAACGGAAACAATAGCAATTCTCAGGACACGCCCAGTCCGGCATCAACAGCACATCCCCAGCCTCCCTCATCCTCATCCCACTGTCACACTCCAACAAGCTCAGCACCTTGAAGCCTCGTCTACACACACGGAGACCACACAAGACATTTGCGCCGCTGCCAGACCCCTCCGTTCCCTCCCCAAGGCCGCAACGCCCATCCCTTTTGCCCCCTCTTGCTCCCATCTCCACACCCCCACACACTACCACCGCCAACAACCAACAACTAGCCCCTCCCCCCTCGCCCCACACAGATTGTGGTGTTTATTTTTTAGAGAGCGTGTGTTTTTTTTTGCCAATGAGGAATTTGGTAACTTTGCAAGGTGAAGTGATGGAGACAAACTCCAAAAAAAAATCATGCATGAAAGAGGGAGGAAGGGAGGGAGGTAGAGGAGAGGAGGGGGGAGTGGGGCGAGTGGGAGAGAGAAGAGAGAGGGGCTCTCACGTTTTCGCATAGTTGAGCACTGTTGAACTTCAGTCACATTGTGGGACATAAAAAAAAGGCAAAAGATGGGTGATTTTTTTACGTTGCAAATTGTATTGCTTTCTGCAAGTGGGTTAACACTGAGAAAAAATCTTATTCCCTGAGACACACGTCCAGGCATCCATAGGTGAAGACAGTGGTGACAATATTTTTAGTCATTGCCTCTTCGACCGTCTTCAGTTGTCCACGTTTTAACGTTTTTTGTTGTGTTCAGGTTGTGGCTACCACCTACTACACACACAGTGTCTCACACAAACACACACATTCAAACATCCATACCCCACAAATACACATACACACACACTGTCACACCCACCCACATACACACACAGTCTCACGCACATCTACATACAAACATGCACACCATACCTACACCACACACACACACACACACACTCTCATATGCACTTTCACACACGCCAACGCACACATACACAGACACCGAAACATACAACTAACCACCGAAACACCACCATATGACACACACGTACACACACATAATCCACTCACCGACACACAAACCCTTCCCAAAATGTTTTTTTTAAAACAACGAATTGATAAAACTCATTTAATTAATATTGACCATCATAAAATTATTCCACAATCAGATGGGTGGGGGCAGGAGGGGGGTGAGGGGAGGAGAGACAGAGACGCGATTGATTTATCTTTTCTTTCAACAATCAAATGTGATCAGAAAGAGATAGGAAAGAGGTGGGGAGCGGGGAAGGGAAGATACTATTATACTGTAAAGTCAGCTTTTAACCAAAGATATACATCAGGATACAAGACATTGTTTCTCACAGGGCTGAATTCCGAGGCAAGTAAGAAAATAAATGAGAAGTTTTTTTTTAAATAATAAATAAATAAAAATAAAATTGAATGCATTACAATATTGGAGAAAAAGGGAACAGTTTTTAAATGGATGGATTTTAACACTGTATATTTATGTAGGAATCAGTGCTGATGGCACAGAAGTGCTATAAAGAGGGACTTTTATTCCTTTCCTCCCCCCCCCAAATCAGGTTAGAGCGAGCATTTTAGGGATTATTAATGTGATAGGGGGTGGTGGCGGGGGGAGGGGGAACCAGGATAGAAATTATCGTATCAGGCGCAAATCTTATGGGAATACAGATGGGTTGTGACCTTTCACAGAGCTACAGCTGTGTTATACAGGGGATCAATTCTGTCTTCTCAGGCATGTCCTGGTGTTCACAATGATGACTGCACGTCTGTCCCTGTGCAGCGATAATACAGAGATTTATGATTAAGTGCTTGCACACACACACACACACACATACACAAAGAGCAGTGTGTGTGTGTGTGTGTGTGTGAGCAGAGTGGGGGAAGGGGGAGGGAGGGCAGTTTTATCAATTAAGTGGCTTTATTGAATAGGGCAGATGATCATGTTGATAGTGATACACTGACCCGGGCTGATGAATAGAGTCAATGGGAGGGGGAAATGTGGAGATGTGTGTTTGTGTGCGTGCGTGTGTGTGTGTGTGTATGTGTGTGTGTGTCCAGGGGGCAAATCATTGCTGTCAGAATGTAGCAGCTTAAGGCAAAGGCTTGTCAAGTGGTTGAATCCTCGTCTGATAGAAAGCACCTACCTGCCATATTGATTTCCTCCCCAATTCCCATACACTCAGAAACGTCATCCTCCCAGCTCTACCTCAGCCCCGTTTCTCACTCGCTCGCGCTCGCTCTCTCTCTCTCTCTCTCGGACGAAATTACCTCCTTTCGAATCAACGTTGAATGAGAGAAGACGAAGAAGAAGAAGAAGAAGAAGAAGAAGAAGAAGAAGAAGAAGAAGAAGAAGAAAAAAAAGAGTTAAAAGATAAGAGAGCTCATAATATACCTCATAGAAGTTCATTTTATTTAATTTGTATTTTATTGTAAAGCCACTTGTGAAGAAGCGTTTATATTCATCGATCACTGTTGTTATTTTTTTTATTTGATATTGTCATACCAAAGAAAGGGAATATATTCTATCGTACACCTACCTCATCATTCCGAATGGCGGACTATCAACTCCCAAGCATACCATAAGGATCTTTTTTTTTTGCAGGGTGTTAAGGAAGGCAACACGTTACCAATGAGCTAACAATAAACCGTGGCTTCTTTACACATTGTACCAAAGATCAAAACAACACATTTCACCAATTTTTTTTTCTGTTGAACGCATTTGTTGAACGATATTACTTACTTACTCACTCTTGTCCAGGGATAAAAGAATGTGTTGTTCACTTTGTTTAGACTATATTTCCCCCTGTCCCCCACCCCCCACCTCCTTTTGGAATTGCTAACCCGGTAGACTTGACTTTCGCTTGAATCTTATTATAAACGGCTTTTAATGAGCCGTGAATGAAAACTTTTAATTTGTTTGTTTGTTGTTTATTTCCCCCCCCTCTCCCTCGCTATCTCTATCTCTCTTTGTACATTGACTTTATTTTTCTTTTTTTCTAAACTTAATCCAGTGCGTTAAAGTGAAAGCTGGATTGCGGTGCTCAGGGGTTAGAACAAACACAAAGAAAAAGGCAGCAAAATATATTTGGAATCGCTGCTTATCCTGGAGACCACATTCTCCGTCTCCCCAGCTCTACCGTTCTGGGAGAATTATGCACAATTTTGTTTTCAGAAGACCACTAAAGGTTTAGCCAGCCAGTCTATGGCTCCCTCAAGGGCACCACCCATCAAACAAGAGGTCACTAAATATTTCTCTTGATCAACAGCAATTTTTCTTATTTTTCGAGAGAAAAAAAAGACCCATCAGGGATTTCTTTCCTCTCTTATCCGCACGGAGAAAAAAAAAAAGGTATTATTTTCACTCAGAGCAGATTTTTTAAAACCAGGTTCATTGCCGACCATTTGAGAACACGGAAATGACAGTAACAATCCCTTCAAAAAAAAATAATAGTCTGGTCACTCAATCCACGAGTGTTTACGGGAAGCTGCTGTGTGCAATTGGCTGTCGCGTTTCGCCCACAAATTACAGTCAATTCACTTTACAGTATATTCTGTGAAGCGCTTTGAGACGTTTTGAAGACGTGATAAGGCGTTATATCAAAGGCGAGGTTATTATTAACAGAGAGAGACCGAGTCGTTAATGAAACGCCCGCTTTGCTCTCAAGCCCTCCCCTGACGTTCTCGGACGGGTCTATTTCCGTGTCTTCGTTGATGCTCCTCTTTTTGGTCACAGAACTGTTTTATTGCCCCCCCCCCACCCCCACTCACATCGGATGATTTGCTGGAACCGCCTTCCAAGCTTTGCAAGTCGTCCACCCTTTTAGAACGCAAGGAGATGCCTCAATAAAGCCGATTCAGTGTCGAGAGTATGTTCGTGTTTCAAAAAAAAATGGTGTTCTGCTTTTTTTGTTATGGAGTTACTCTTTGTAAACCGGTCAGAAATTAAACAGTAAATTGAAAGATACCCCTTTTTTTAATGCGTCAAATTTATTTACGTGAGGTGCCAAGTGATAATTATTGGATTGGTGTTAATGATAATAATAATAACCCTTGCATTTTATATAGCATCTTATCACGTCTTCGAGACATCTCAAAACGCTTCGCAGAATACACTGCAAAGTAAATTGACTGTACATTCCATGAGCAAAATTGGTTACTCACTTTATGATTGTTTGTGAGGTTATTGAATGCCTCTACACTTTATAGTATATCTTTGAAACATCTCAAAGATCATGATCAGCCATTATATCAAACATTATTATTAATATTCAATTGGTTCTGCTCCAAACAATCCAATTTTGATAAGGTCGACACAAGCAACAGTGAGGTAGTTTAACGCCTGTAACAGATAGAGCATTAAAGAGCAAAATGGCAAACAAAAGGATGAGGTGGTCAATACGACAGAGCACTCTATGTTGGAACTTCAACAATAATACCGTCTCATCGTATTCACAAGAGAAATATGTAGCAATTTGCCCAGATTCTCGGGGGCCACCGAACGAGCATCTAACAAATATATAAGAGAGAGAGAAATGATATTAGGAGATTAGGAGCCTTGTTCCGTGTGCCATATATCCAGCTATATTAAAAGGCAGAGATATAAAAGCCCTCAATGGGCATTTTCTGTGCTTCACAACAGATCAAAAGGAAATGGGAGAATTGGAAAACAGGAACTTTTATAGAGGTTTTCAAAAACAAATTTCATAAAATGATTTGTGAATTATTACCCAATAAAATTTTAACACTGCTTAATATTTGTTAAGCTTTTCCACCAGCTTCCACTATTATCAAGGAATTCTAGACAGTTTATGTTTCAGAAGGTGCTCACTCGACCCATTGTGTAATTGTTTCCCGTAAGCTTCAATATTTTTCCTCGGGCATTTATCCGATCCTTTTTAAAAAGTTGTAACAGAATTTGTTTCAACAGCATTTTGTGGTAAGTGTTAGGTGTGTAACGGTATTTGACCATCTTCAGATCGCACCTAAAGACTTTGCTCTTCAACTATGCCTACAATTACCTTCCCTTTCCACCCAAACTGCCATGCTACGAGATGCTACCCATGGGAAGGGCGTAAATTGTTGTTTGCTGCTATATTAAAGGCAATGGGATTCTCATGATTTATTCAGATTTATTATTAATTGTAATAATCTTTACTTTTGATACATTGCCTTTCACATCATCAAGACGTCTCAAAGTGATTCACAGGGTATTCACTGTAAAGTGTAATGACTCTGCATTTTTAGGCGAACACGGGAGCCAATTTGCTCATGGCAACATCCCACAAACAGCCATGAAGTCAATGACTGATTTTATCTAGAGGAATTGATGTCCAGGACACTGGGAAAATGTTTTCTCTTTACAAATAGCTCCATGGGATCTTTACTGGCGTCCTGTAGCTTAGTGCTTAGAGCATTCTCATCCCAAGCGAGAGACCTGGGTTCGA